TTGTTGAGACATTGCTCGGTTCAAAGCTTCCATTGTCTCAGCCGATTCTTTGATTTGTTGAGACATTGCTCGGTTCAAAGCTTCCATTGTCTCAGCCGAAAGCTCCATGGTACCTAAAAAATAAAAAAAATAAAAACTCGCAGTAACTTGTTCGAGAAGAAATCACGAAAACAGCAAAACTAAACTCATCATAAAAAAAAATTAACCGATCTCCACGAAATCTAAAAACAAACTCAAAGAAACTAATGAAATTTAACGAAAATTTTTTTTTTTTTTGTGTACTCTTTTTTTTTTTTTTTTTTTTTTTTTTTTTTAAACCTAACTAACGAAAATACAAGACTCTCTTATCAAATCTAAACGAAACAGCCGAAAAATACAAAGATTTTAGGCCTAAACGCAAACGACAACTCGAAGACTCCTAACGAATGCGAAACACGAAGACTATCAAAACCCTAGACACGATACGAAACAATGAAACTAAAAACTAACAAAATTTCGGACACCACACGACACAATGGATAAGCAGCAAAGACCAGATCGATGCAACCTAACGACGATATAGAAGTGATGCAGCGAAACAAACTAAAACGAACACGATTAACAAATATCAAAACAAAACGAGTGATACGATTCGATAACTCTTAACAAACCTAACGAAAACGATAACGAAACAAACCCTAGACACGAAACAATAAGAATCGACCTAATCAAGAATTCAAACGATGAAAGCAGGGATCGACACCAGCTAATCTAGGTTTAGAATCGAAAATTTCAAAGTACAGAGATTAGGGTTAGAGTTCGCTCAGCCTTTGGTTCAGAGTTGGCTCTGATACCACGTGATACGATTCGAGGAGATCAACTCTGAAGATAAGGCAACAGGCGAATTGAGATCGTGACTTGGAGGGACAGATGCGATGATATTGGCGTGATGAAGCGATGGTGGCGCGATGAGAGATCGATGGAGGGAGATGGTGGTGTGATGCGGCGGATCGATGGTTTGAGATGGTGGTGGATGGATTCGTCGATGGATCGTGAGAGGGATGTGATGGTGATAGCAGAATCTCTTGTAAACAGATTAGTTTTAAGAGATTCGAATTTCAGAGTTTTTTTTTAGTTCTCAGAAATCGAAAAGAGAGAAGAACACGTTAAAAGTTTGATCAAAATTCTTCACTGAATATGACATAGGCGATTTTCTCTTTTTTATAGACTAAGAGAGAAAATCGCAGCCCTAATAACAAAACAACATGGAGTTTGAAATAAAACAACAAGAAGTTTAATTTGAAAATAAAACAGCGAGGCGTCCCTTCTAAACCTTAGTGGTGCGCCTAAACAACTAGTGCATAAGTCATTGTGACTTAGCACGTTATTACCCATTAGTAACAACTTCTAAGTAACTCGACGTAGCAATGATTTCTGCCTCGTTAAAAACCTTGGAGAAGAACCTCCTTGCCTTCCAAAATCCTCACCAAGGAAAAGAGTACAGAATCATCACCTAAGTTACCTAGTCATTGTTACTGGGTTCTTCATTCTTCAAGATAGAGATGTTGAAGATGTGAGCTCCAGCCTCCTGGTGTTCGCTGTCCTCCGTGGCAATGAGTGCGTGAGCCTCCTTAGCCATCTCTCTAGCTCTGGAACGAGTGATCCTGCCAGCTACCTCTGGTTCCTCCTCCTCTGAGCTGGTCACGATCATATCAGCTTGGGAAGTGGAAGGCTTCCTGGAGGGCTCATCTTTGCAGTGCATTTACACGATCAGAGAGAGGCGTCTAGACATGTGTCCATTCCGGAGACCGTATCTTCCTGCTCATAGCTCCGAATTGAATACTAGTGGACGTTCTGGAAAGAGGACTCAAATCTATCTGATTCTCATGAAGGCCCCGGAAACTGAATCGGCCTGGAAGTGCACCGGCATTCGCATTCTTCGGAGCTCATCGGTTTGGTCCAAAACGGCAGCGAGACAGGAGTTTCTTCCGCCGAGCTTAACTTTCTGCTCACGCGTCCGAATTGAGTCATTCCACTTGCTATGGAATCGTGATCTAACCCTCTAAAACTTTCATGAAGCCCCAGACAACTGAATCGGACCGGACGGTTCCCCGGACAGGCGATCATTCAGGAGTATCGGATTGCTCCGGAATGGATGCGAGAGAGGTCTGTCTTCCGGTGACCGTATCGTTCAGCTCAGTGCTCCAAATGCCTTTATTCAACCTGTTCTGGGTTCTTGACTCAATTATCTCCAACGTTTCTGAAGACCCTGTAAGCTGAATCGGCCGGCAAGAGCTTCCGGTGACGCGATTTCGGAAATGTATCTGCACCCGGGATTTTTGGCCGAGAGACTTGACCGCGGTACGTGTTTTTTGGCCGAGAAAGCTACCCGCGGGAAGGATTTTGGCCGAGAATCTTCGGCCATCAGTACATCATTTTGCCTAGAAACCCAAAATTGCTCCTTTTCACCATTTTTGATCATTTCAACTCCATTTCTTCATCTGAATCACATCCTCCACTCCAAATAAGCTCCAAAAGCACATGTTTAACACTCCAAACCATGCAAAACTCTTTTGGACCTAATGAATTTCCTAAGTCCTAAAACAATGCCTAAAGACCTAAAATGTATGCAAATGAGACATAATTTGGACTAGAATATGTACATTAAATGATGCAATTTATGAATATATCACCAAGCGCAGATGGTTTCTTCACCAAAGTTTGAGCTGAATGAGTGATCTTACTCTTGGAGTTGGTTTCAAGTCATTTGGAGTTACGTACTGAAAGTTATTGCTATCGGGAGACAAGCGGGTCGATACAAGCTTCAAGAGTTGCGATTTGTGCTTAGTGTTTAAACAGGCCTATACTGAGGCCTATCCTCCAATGCTTTTTGATCCAGACCTCGTGCTAACCCCTCGGTGTTTCAAGACCGAGGCACACATGCTGAGAAGACAAGCTGCATTCGCCTAAGTGTGAGACTCAACCTCAGTTTCAGCCTCTTGGCATTTCACGTCGGACCTCATCTTCCTTGTCCCCTTGACCACCTGACCCCTCGGTGTATCTACACCGAGGTCCCTTGTCACGAACCCAGATCAAGAACAAAGAGACTCTAACGAGCGCATGTGAAGATGAATCAAAGACTAGGGTTCATGCATGTTCTTGGTGAGTTCTTCATGAGTTCTTCATTCCAATCTTTGCTCACGTGCACCCCTCGACGTCTACACCTCGGCATTGGACTCTCACATACCGGGGAGCTCACCCAACGACACAACAAGACCAGTTCAGTACCCGGTTTGTTCCGGGCTGACCCGCATCACTTAGCTTTACTATATATAGTTTTAGGGACTAAAACCCTACGGATCTTATCTATTATCTTACCTTATCTTAGAGAACTTGCCTCTTTTGTGAAAACTTGCTGCTTTAATCAGATATCTCGTTTTGGCATTAAAGATCTTGTTCTTTTTGTTTCTTTTAATCATCGCAAATTTTCTAATAATGTCTAGTATCACTTCTTGCAAAAGATTAAGTGTGCTCTTCATGATTAGTGAGTAGTTTCATTATGAGGTTTTAGATAGGTAGATTCGGGTTCTGAAATGCTATATTAGCGAGTTGAGGGTTTAGATCTGCATCATTCATTCTCTAACAAACCGACCTCTATTCTGGATCCATGAACATCACATGTGGTCTAGATCAAAGACATGTTATCGCACCAAAAGTGTTTGTAGAAATGTATGAACCAGTTTGTTAGAGGTTTAAGAGTCTTTCATCATGATAATTATAGTTTGTTTCTCTTAAATGACTTATTGAACTGATTCTTAATGCTTGCAGATTCATGCTTCTCAAAAGGGATTTTGGTATGAAAGAGGATTAGCATAGAAGTTTAATGCCTTCATGAGAGGATTATTTTGATAATGAGTTCAAGTTAAATGAATCTGTTTGATTGTTTGATCATTAACTTGCTAGTTTAGTATAGAAGCACCCTAGTTCATTATCCTGTCTAAAACCTCTGCTTCATCATTTCATATCATCAACCGCTTATCGTGTCTATCTAATTTGCTTGTTTGCGTCTTGTTTTAGTTTAAATCTTATTTTCTCATCTTGTTTGTCATTTGTTTAGAAACCAAAACTCTTTACTTTATTTGCATAAATTAAGATACACAGCATCATAAATTAGTGTCTAAACCACAAGCATGGATTGATACCTCTTCATTTACTACAATGATAGGGGATTGATAACCCTTCAAATGCCTAAAAACTTTAGTTATCAATTGACGCCGTTGCCAACTTGTGGATTAGCATTAGTTTTTGCTTGTTCTTGAGATCAAGTCTTTATTTTTCTTGTTATTACTGATCGTTTTTGAGCTCTATCTTTGAGTGATCATGTACATGCGAATTCGCTCTAGAAGTTCAGAGCCACCTCAACCTTACAACAACAACATTAACTCGCTTGAGAGAAGAGCTAGAGAGAGGGCAATGAAACAGGAACGGTTGGGTATGGCTGATCAGGAGAGGACTGAGAAACAGGCTCAAGAAGCCGAGCATCAGGCTCATATAAACCAGGTGCAGGCCGAGAGGAACGAGGAACAAGCAAACCACAATGAGCAACAGGCACAACAAGTTCCTCAGCCTCAGCCACAAGCTCAAAGGCAGCCTCCACAAGTTTTTTTTGGCGAGAACGATAGAGCTAATGCACATCAGTATAGAGCAGGGATCCAAGCACCACCGGTTCAGAATAACAATTTCGAAGTTAAAGCCTCCCTGCTCAACATGGTGCAAAACTCAAAGTTTCACGGCTTGCAATGGAAGATCCTTTGGAGCACTTAGATCAGTTTGACCGTGTTTGTGATCTCACCAAGATCAACGGTGTATCAGAGGACAGCTTTAAACTCTGATTGTTTCCCTTCAGCTTAGGAGACAAGGCGCATCAATGGGAGAAGAATCTTCCGAGGGGAACAATACAAACCTGGGAGCAGTGCAAGCTTGCGTTTCTGTCAAAGTTTTTCTCTACTTCCAGGACCGCTAAGCTCAGAAATCGGATTTCAAGCTTCACACAGCATACAAATAAAAGCTTTGGAGAAGCTTGGGAACGGTTTCGAAGTTACACTAATCAGTGTCCTCACCACGGTTTCTCAGAGGCTTCTCTTCTCAGTACTTTATACCGAAGTGCCCTCCCCAAGATAAGGAACCAACTAGATACAACTTCTAATAGGAACTTTCTTGGCAAAGAGATCAATGCCGCAATGGAGTTAGTGGAGAATCTTGTGATGTCCAATGATACTTATGGTGAAGATTTCGACAGGGTTAATCAATCATAGGGATCTAGTAAGGAGCTGAGGATGGAAAAAGATATAAGGGAGCTTCAAAACAACCTATACAAAGTGCTTGTGGCTACACAAAAGCCTATACACTTTGTGGGCGAGTTTGATGAGCAAGGACCGAGTTTTGACAATGTGAATGAGGATGGGCTCACACAAGAAGAAATCAATTATATTGGGAATCAGCAAAGGTATCATCGGTTCAACAATATGGAAAAAATCAGAACCTCTCATACTGCAATCCCAATGTGGCCAATCCTCAAGATCAAGTGTATCCTGCTTAGCAAAACCAACAAAGCTTTGCTCCTAAGCCTCAGTTTCAAAGTTCTTTTCAGCCTAAGCAACAGTTTGGTGGGCAACAACAGAGATATGACCAGCAGCAGCTACCGGTTCAGGGCAGTAACTACAGCAACCCACCGCAGCAACAGAAATATCCACAAGGGTTCAGTCAGCAGCCGATGGGTCAGCAGCAGCAGCAGGCGCCGGTTCAGAATCAGATGGGACCAGATATGTGTGGGATACTACAGCAGTTGCTACGGGTCAACAAAGAGTCGAGAGGCAGTATGCGTCCATGCAGCAAGAGATTAGGGAGCTTAAGCAGATCAAGATTCCACATCATCAAGAAAAGGCGTTTTACCTGGAAAACCAGAACCAAATCCCAAAGAATATGTCATGACATCACCTTGAGAAGTGGCAAAGAGCTACAAGCTCCTGAGCCTAAGCAAACGCTCATTGAGGACAATGAGCAAATCGGAGGGGAGGCAGCCTCACGAGATGAGCAAGAGGATGAGGTCTCAGAGAAAGAAAAAGAGAAAGATGAGGCTAAAGAGGTGGAAAAAGAACCTGAATTTGAAAAGCCTTATGTCCACCAACTCCTTACCAGCCTAAATTTTTTTTCCAGGGTGATTCAAGAAACAGATCTTAGACAGAGCAAAGGCAGTTTTTGAAAAGCACTTAGAGAATACACAGATGACATTGCCGATCATAGATGCTTTTCTAGCGATCCCACAGCTTGGAAAGTTTCTAAAGGATGCGATTCTTAACAACACCAAACGCGGGGGTTTGTTGTTTTCGTTTTACTAAGCTTCAGGTTTTAAATTTATAACCCCTAAATGTCTGCAAGTGCACAGATGTGTGCTGTAGTACTTAGGGTATCGATCCACAGAGACTTAGTTGTTTCAGTCCGAATTCACTGCAACGCTTAAATCAAATTAGAACTAAAAGGGTTTTGGTTTTGGTTTTGGGTTTTTGGTTGTCACTAGATCTAAACTAGAAAGCAATTAAAAACTAAAAAGCAATTGACAAAATTGAAAGCAAACAAAAGCAAGTAAAATCGATTAAACAAAAGCGAATGTAAGCAAGTAATAAGCGAGTGAAAAGCAAACTAAACTGAAGGTTGTAAACAATTAAAGACAAACGTTGGGCATCAAGGGGTTTCGCAGGGGTTCATGGACTAAGCTATGTCGATTTTAAACAAGTGATAAAGGTAATCAACTACGTATGTTCTAGAACTCGAGGCACGGAAGTATGAATAGCCTACTTTCGCAGCACTAAACAACTATCTCTCGCAAGCCTGATCAGTAGGTTTCCACTCTGATTCTGGAAGGGAGAATATGCAATAGCAGAACAAGACTCATCAATATTCACAACTCAACTACAGGTAGGTTTCCACTCCTGTAGAAGAATTGCTCGTTTCACCCTAGTTCAGAGAATCAATGAAAGCTTTCGCAACATATCATATCAGATCGGCTTCTAAGTGGCCAGCAAAGAATCATGCAGTAAGATTAAAGGCAAACGAAGAACATCTAGAAGATTAATAATCCTAAATCTATCGATTCATAAGCAAAGACACATGAAATTCCCCTTGAACAATCCCTTTAAACCCAACTGGGTAACTACTCAAACATATTGTAAACAATCATCACAGAGTATTGAAAGTGCATGAAACTAAACAAAAGAAGGAAGAAAAACGAAGAACGGAGAAGCAGATGGAGGCGCGATGTCTTCCTCCAGCGGCGGCTCCTCGGGTTTGTGAAGCACCCACACGAATTCTCTCTCTATTTTTGTGGACACTTAGGGCTTCAAAAATAACGAAAGGAATTGATCTGGGCTTTAATTAAGTCGTCGGGAAAGTGAACGACTAAGTTCCGCGGTCGCGGTGGCTCTACCCGCGGGAAAATGGGTGTTGGCCGCGGTCCCGGCACATGCTCTCTTCTGGAACTGCTTTTTCTGTCATTCTTGCATCGAGAGTATCTGAAGATCTAACCGTTGGATTGTCTCCAAACCAAGTGCATTAGAAAGCTGGTTGGATCCTCTATGTTCTCTCAAATTTTGGGGGTGATCAGACGGTGAGAAGATCTTCATCGCTTGTCATACTTCTGACGGTCTGCATTTATCCAAAATTGCTCATTTGTTCCAAATTGCATATCTTTTGCCCAAGTTTCCTGTAAAGTCTTTTGAAACTCTAAAACATTGAAAACACTTTAAAAACCTTTGAAAACAGAGTTAAAACACCTGCATAAGATACAATTATGATCCATAAAAGTGGTCAAAATACGGTGTTATCAACTCCCCCAGACTTACGTTTTTGTTTGTCCTCAAACAAACTTAAGTCAGGAAAGATATTTTTTTTTTGAAAATCGCAGGAACTAAACAATATCTCAGTGACCGTCCTTCTAAACCATAACTTATCGTGAAACATCTATTTGGATCTAGTCTACAAAATTCTCACCAAAATACAAACAAACTAGTCCGTTAATCTGTCATGCGAAAATCTACACACTTAGATCAAACTTCCAGTCAACTAGCTCTCTACATTCTTTAAGTATTTTGTGAGTTCTCATCAAAGACATTATTCAGGGTAGACGGCGTTTGGCATTAAAGGCTATTTAAGTGGTGGAGTTTAAGTGTTTAGGGTTACCTGAAGAATATGAAGGATGCAAGATATTATGCAAAACCGCAAGAGAGAGAAGGACCTGTTGATGACCGCAGATTTTCAGTCACTTCTCCTTTGCCAAATGTTGTGGCATAATCTTCCTCCTTTGTTGTAAACAGCTGTTCCCCCAGACTTATATCTTTTCCGGGAATCATAAAGATAATCTCCAAAACTCCATGTAATCGGACTCTAGCTTGCCTCAAGTATAAAATTCGATCCTCCTAGACTCTCTAAGGTTTTAATTTCCTCTCCCTTCATATTTTTCTTTTCTTTTTCGGATTTTTTTTTTTTTTTTTTTTTGAAAGAGGAAATAACCTTTTATAAAGAGAGAGTGTAAGGGACGAAATGGTACCAAGATTTTGAAGTTTTTCCAAGGCAAACTGAGTTTTCTCCTTTTGTTGAATTGTTCCAATGAAATCGCAGGTCTTCGTCTTCAGTGACTGAAAACCGCGTTGATCCTCTTTCTCTCCGACGTTTTTGCACATATCTGCATATAGGACAATGAAAAACGAGAATGCATGTGGTTTGAAAGAGGTTAGGTTCGGTGGGGAACTAGCTAAAGATGAACTAGCCATTCAGGATTAACAAAGAGTGGTAAAAAGATAAAGGAGTCCTGAATGTATGATTCGTTTCCTTGATCTAATGCTTTAATGAGAAAATTAAGTCAAAATTAAGTCCATGTAAAATGAGCTAGTATATCCTGTCAGAAAGAATCTCCATGAATAGAAGTCCTCTGGTGGGATTTCGTAATGCAAGTACTTAGCTACCGCCTAGTCTAGGCCTAAATCACAAAAGAGCAAAAAACGAGGAAATAGCGTAGAAGCACACTGGTCTAATTCATCATAGTAATGTTTACTGTGTTCCTGGTTTGAAAACTTTTTGAAAAACATTTTTGAAAACAATTTTTGAAAAACATTTTGAAAAAAAACTTTTTGAAAAATTTTATGTGTCCAAACAAACTCAAAACAAATCAAATTACATTAGTAACGGATGAACATCCTCCCCCAGACTTATTTCACACTGTCCTCAGTGTGATAAATCTGGAAAGAATGGTAAAGAATATAGAAAAGTTGAAATGTTTAAGTGAACTTATTGTGCTGGAGAGTGCTGCTCGTCCTTTTTTGTTTGTTCTTCCTTATTAAAAACCTGAAATTAAATGAAACAGAAACAAAGCAATGGAAATAGAAAATAAAGGTCAAAGGGAAATAGATAAAATACCAAGTGGGTTGCCTCCCACTAAGCGCTTGTTTCAAGTCATTAGCTTGACATTGTTGCTCGATTAGACTTAACCGGGGTCGTGACACTCTTTGATCTCATCATTGGCCGATGATGGATCAATCAAAAACATCACTTCTCTTTTGTCTTCTCTTTCTTCAGCCAGATATGGCTTTACACGCTGTCCATTCACTGTAAATGAGTTTCCGGTTCCGTCCCACAGGACAATGGCTCCGTATGGCTTGACTTCCTTTATCATGTATGGTCCTGACCATCTTGAACGTAATTTTCCTAGAAAAAGCTTAAGACGAGTATTGAAAAGAAGTACCTTATCGTTAGGAGCAAAAGTTCTATGAATAATCTTCTTATCATGATATGCTTTAGTCTTCTCCTTGTAGATCTTCGAGTTTTCATAAGCATTGTGTCGGATTTCTTCTAACTCGTGAAGTTGAAGTAGTCTTCTTTCTCCAGCTGTTTTCATGTTCATGTTCATCTCCTTGATAGCCCATTATACTCGAGTTCCATAAACTAGATTGAATGGTGTTGTTCCTAATGGCGTCTTGAATGCTGTTCGATATGCCCATAATGCGTCGTCAAGCTTGGTAGACCAATCCTTGCGATGAACTGCAGTAGTTTTCTGCAAAATCGACTTGATTTCTCTGT